TGTATCAACTGTTGGCGGCGCTGCAGGGCGTTGACCTTTAAATGGATTTGGATTTTTTCTTTTGGATTCCGTTGGATTTTTCTTCTGGGGGCATATCAAGAATCTTGTGTATGCAGAGAAAATTCGTGATGTTCAACATCTCAGGGAACGAATAGTCAATTGTGTGACAACCGTCCCCCCAGACATGCTCGCCAGGACATGGGAAGAGGAGGTAGAATACCGTTTAGACGTCTGCCGTGCCACTAACGGGGCTCATATAGAACTTTACTAAGTGTGAAAAAAAACTTGAAAATTTAAGCTTTTCAGTCATGTATAAAACATGTATGTATGTCTTTTATTTCATTAAAATATTTTGCCTCAAAACCCCGGAGTTCTTTTATAGACACCCTGTATATATTATGTGTTAATGAGAATAAATTTATAAGTTCAAAACAAAAAAATAATAATAATAAGTTTTATTTTCTCCCCTTAAATTTTAGAAATGAGTTCTACAAAAAACTGCATAATGAGGATGAAAAATTTGAGATAATTTCTTCTGTCGCAATCGCATGTCTGTTAATGCTTAATTATTGTTGTATAACGTTAAACTTAATTAGTTTCTTCAAATATAAGTGATTTACGCCAGGAATAGGTCTAAATTGAAGAAATGCTTTTATTTTTGAGAATTTTCAGTTAATTAGCCCGGTGCAAGTAAGTAAAATCAAATATTTTTTTTAAACTTATTTTTTTTTGTGAATGTTCATTTTGTTCTATGTTTAAAAAAATAAATAAAAAAAATAGGAAAAAAAAATATATTAAAAAGTTGTCGATGGTCTACATTTTCTGGCGACTTCTTGCTGGTGCCCAGCTAACTAAAAGCTTTCCAATTTTTNTGTGATGGCATGTCTTCGGATCATCTTCAGGGATGCTTCCCAGACCGTCGCCAATAGCCCATTGTGCAGCTCTAGTGCGACGTAAATGAACAACAACAGTTATGGTTGGGAATTTTAACGGCTTTTTCTTATTTATTATTGCTATAGATATATTATGTGGTGATGAGAATAAATTTATTAGTTCAAAACAAACAAAAAAAAAATAATAATAAGTTTTATTTTCTCTCCTTAAATTTCAGAAATGAGTTCTACGAAAAACTGCACGTTGAGGATGAAAAATTTGAGAAAATTTCTCCTGTCGGCAATCGCATGTCTGTCAATGCTTAATTAATGTTGTATTACGTTAAACTTAATTATTTTCTTCAAATATAAATGATCTACTCCAGGAATAGGTCTGAATTGAAGAAATGCTTTAATTTTTGAGAATTTTCAGTTAATTAGCCCGGTGCAAGTAAGTGAAATCAAATATTTTTTTTAAACTTTTTTTTTTTTTTGTGAATGTTCTTTTTGTTCTATGTTTAAGAAAATAAATAAACAAATAGGAAAAAAATATATTAAAAAGTTGTCGATGGTCTACATTTTCTGGCGATTTCTTGCTGGTGCCCAGCTAACTAAAAGCTTTCCAATTTTTTAATAAAAAAAGTGTAAAATATTTTTTTTATTTTTTTTTCCTTTTTGCTCCCCATAGATTATTTTTCTCTCTCATTGAATAGAGGACTATCATTGACAGTGGCATAAATAAGTTAGTGGGTGCTATTATCAATGGTATAGATTGTCAATGCTATAGATATACGAAAACATTTTACAAATAATTAATTGAAAATTTAATTAATATTTTTTTAATTAATATTGCAAAAACATCCTTCTACCATTATATTATCATAAGTAAGACCACATTTTGAAATCAAACATATAATAGTTTAAACCAGAACTCGTGTTTCGTTATTAAAAAGCGTTTTTCTATAATGATTCAATAATTATAAAAAGGGATAATGACAATAAATTGAAGACAAAAAAAGTCTACTTTTTTTTTCTTTTTCAAGATATTTTTTTCTAAACTACAGCATTTGCTATAGAATAATCTAAGAACATGATATTGTTCATTTCACTATTAAAAATATAATTTATATATTTTATCTAAATTGTTTATGGTTTAAAAATGGGTAAAAATTGGCATTTTTAAAATGACGCATAACTTAATTTTCTCTACATCTTGTGCCCGCAACCAATACATCCTTTCATGCAAACAACCCTGTAAAATTTCAATTAACATTTTACTCGTGTCGAAGTTTTATTCTTGGTCTTTTTACGACTCATATTTAAATACAATTTACCTATAAAGTTTAGAAATGTCAAGAAGAAATTATAACTGAAATTGCAAATTTCAAACATTTCAGGTTGAGACAATAATTACAAAGCAATAGTTTTTTTGAAATCGATGGAGAAAAAAATTCATTATTTGAATTAAACAATACGTATTTTGTAAAAGTAAGTTATTGCCCTTTTTTACTAATCAAAAATGTTTTACTTGCTTGCAAATTCTTAAATTAAAATTAGGATTACAGTAATTATATTCAATAAAGTGACAAACATCTACTTATATATTATACATCAACATATATATTATACAGATTTAAGATGAAATTAAACTTATTGACCTTTTGGTACCGCAATTAAACTTTACTGTTCTGTAGAAAAGAGTGTTCTCTGTAGTCTGGAAGAGATATATATATCAACTAGAACCATCTTTATAGTTTCGTACCTATGATATTTTTAAAGTAATCGTTGGGGACAAATTCAAAATGAGGTTTTGAACAAAAAATAAAAATTATTCTAAGAATATTACTTATGCATATTCAAGTAGACAGTCATACTATATCAGAATACTTATACATTTATTTCTGTAACACTTTCATGCATAACATTGTATGCACACGCACGCACGCTACTCGCTTTATAGTCCATTTTTTATACTGTTTTTTCCTTTTCTTTTATATTGTACTTTCCTGCGATGCGTTGTAAAATTTTTCATTTGTGTCTTTTGGCTCACTATAAGGGAGGTCCCGTCGGCTTCGGCACTATAAGGCGGGACTCTCGGAGCTTTTTAATTATTTTACTGCTGTTGCCATCAGACTCTGTAATGTTTTCGTATTTTTGCACTTTTTGTATTTTATGTACTTTTCTGTTTTTCTTGATTTAATAAACATTTACCCGTATGCTCTAAATTGGGGCAGGTCGGGGTAAATATTTCACACTGTTTTTTCCTTTTATTTTATTTTATTTTCTGTTTTTACATGTTATTTTTACTTTTTGTGTTCTATTTTATTTGTAGTAATTTTGGTAAAAAAATTTTTTTGAATGCTCCTCACATTTGCTTTGGCTTTATTAATGCAATGTCAGAAAGCACTCTGTTTTGCGGATATAATCGTGTGGGCTGATGAAAAGATTATATCTTTTTTTCCCGGTTTTTTTTAAATAAAATTCCATACTTTTTTTCTTCTTTTTTTTAACTGTTGTTTTTTATTTTTTTTACTTATTAATACCCCCCTTTTTTTCATATGTCTATTATTTTTCTTTGTTTCATCTTCATTTTGAACTTATCTAATGAGTTCTCAGAAACCCACTGTGCTTTAAATTGTAGAACCAATGTTCCAGAAAAATCATTAAATTTAAAATTTTCTGAACTGAATAATTCAGGAGTCGATTCAGGTTCTATTTCTTGAAAAATTAATATTTTTGTGAAAAATGTAAATTATTTTCATGAAAATTTCTCAATGAAAGACATTTAGTTTTAGAAATCACTATTTTCCATTCCGATTTTTTTTCTCAATACCCATGTGTTTTTCCGATCATTCTTTGTCTCGCTTCTTTAATTAATTCCGATATATTTAATACGTTGTTATGACATGCGATTTTCGATTTTAAGTAGAATTTTGAATTTGAGTTTTGATGTGTTTGATTCGTAATGATTCCGTCTTAAAAGCACATCGTTTTTTTTTTATTTTTTTTATGCGAATTCCTTGTGCTTTGTAGAACAATTTTGTGTGAGCATTTTTGTAAAGTGAAACTTTGTGAAACGATCGCTTTTGCGAATTTGAATTTTGTGAAGGAGCAGTTTTTACAAATTACAATTATGTGATGGAACCAGTTTTTCGAATTTAAATTTTGTGAAGAGACCGTTTTTTTTATTATTAGTTTGAATTTAGTGAAGGAACCCCAAAAAGGGGGTCCAATTTCTGCCTGAATCGACCCTTTGACCCTTTTAATTAATTTTGAAAAATGAAAAGGTAAAGCATCTGAAAGGAAAATTTTTAAATATCCGTTTAGATACTTATTTCCTGTTTTCTAATTTTCTGGAAAAACTGAATATATTACACATTGGTTACGACGAGTATTATTTTCTCACAAGTCTCCATATTTTGATGCAGACTCATATTGACCCCAACTTTGAGTTAAAAAAAAAAAAAAAAAAAAAAAAAAAAAAAAAAAAAAAAAAAAAAAAAAAAAAAAAAAAAA